ATGGAGAGTGGCTCAGCAACCATATCAGCACATGATATGGCTTGTTTGAACCTTAATTGAGATCTAGATGCAAGTTTCATTAACAAAATGCAAATAATTTAGGTGCGCCTGAATAGGACTTTGACCTCTCTCTTGAAGTTTCTCCTGTCCACTCCATAATAATTCTGAGACTTTTATAAGAAAATGTTAGTGTCTTGGAACACTACCTCTTAACAGGTCTTTCCTGATATGAAGCTGATGAAGAGGCCCACTGTAGGTCTTCATTTGCCTTTGTTATATACTTGGGTAAGAAGAGTTCTCTTTTTTTTCCTAAGGTGAGACTCCTTTCTGAGTTGATCTGATATTGTTTTCTTGATTGTGATTTTTAGGCTTGTGTGCTGTCACTTTTGTCTGTTATAAAGGGAGTTCTATGAAAGACAGTTCTAGCAATGGTGGACACTGTTCTTTTTAAATTTAAATACTCTTCAGTGAAAGCTCATAAAGTGTGTTTGTATTTAAATCTTTTATCAGAAGAATATAATTTGATAGTTGTAGCCCATAATTGATACATACTATATACATGCATTTATGAAGTTTTGGCGCCTTTGTATGTTATGTGACCAAAGTTGATCTGTCAGAAGTCAACTGGCAAAAGAGCAGCTTGCTTTATGACTTGGAAGCTGATGGATCTGTACAATTCTGGCAACATTGTTGTAAGCTTGAATTTTCTTTTAGTTCCAATTTTCATTTTACTTATGAAGATTTCAGAGTTGTTTAACAACACTTATTACACAGCAATGAAGAATTTCAGTTTTCTTTTTTCTTCTTTCATCCACCTTTGAATGCTTTTCTGAAGATGATTAGGGTGCTATCTTCACTCTACAGTTAGTGATTCCCTTTGTAATTTTTACTGATATTTCCTTTAAATTTCAAACTTCAGTGTAATTCTGTGAAACTTCCTAGTCTGTAGAATACTGTGAATTACAGCCAGAAGTGGGGGATAAAGTGTCTTTGGAGAACTAGTTTGTCTACCTTCAGTACTAGGTGATATGTTGTAGAAACCTCACTTATTTGTTAGAAATATTGTTTCATAAAGAGCAAGTACTTGCTGTGTAGTTTTACCTGCCTGTGAAATTTGTTGTACTCTTTTTTTTTTTTTTTTTTTTTTCCTTTTTTCTCTCTCTTCCATTTACTCCATGTCAGAACTAACTCTTAAGGTAGACTTCACATATGGAATTTGAAATCCTCAAACAGGAATTAATGACTAAAGAAAATAAATGAGATAAAAATCCTTTTTGTGTAACTTATTTTGCTTGTAAGGTGCTGTTGGATGACTTTATATCAGCAACAGTTTCACTGAAATGGAAGCTTCACAGATATCCTGAAATACAGTTATGTTTTATTTTTTGTTGTTGTTGTCATGGTCCCTGATTATTACTTTCACAATTACACTGCTATCATCTGCCTTCCCTGTTCAGCTTAACAGGGGTAGCAATTGTCTTATTATTGACTTGCTCCATTCTTTGCTATGGGAACTACTGCTGAGACTACTTAGAATCAATATCTGAACAAGAAGATAAAGTTAATTTAATGCTTGCTGTTCATTTTATATTTAAAAACAAAGAGGCTTTAGATGGGAAACAGTTACAGAAATAACCCGTTTGTGCTGTTCATAAGTCATATAGTAGATTGAAAAGTAATAAAAATATTTTATGTAAGTGTATGTGTTACTTGAGGCATGATCTACCTTCTACTTCCTGTAAGTACCTAGCATTAACTTTGCAGTGGTGATTTTGTTTTCTAACATACTGATGTGTTAGCAAAATGACGGGTCCTGACTTATTGATAGTGCCTTATGGAATTTTCCTCACTCAAGTGGAAATATATAATCTAAAATTTTCATTTAATACATTTTTCTTTTGTGACTTGCAGACAGATGCCAGCAGTAAAGCTATATTCTCAAAAGTGATGGTTATAACAAGTAAGTCAATTGAAATATTTACACTGTCTAAAAATTACAGTTGAAATATATTGCTTTCTTGCTTTAAAAATAATTTGAGATAAGCTTATAATAGAGTTTTGTAACAGATAAAATTTATAACAAATCATAATAAACTTGATGTAAGAATGTACTTTAATGAATTAAGACAACTGTAAAGGAGTATTACTTCCATACTGTAAAATGCCTCCAGTCATGAAGCTTACCACGTGACATTTTTTCTCTATTTGTTATTCACTAAAAATGAAGATGATGTAGGGTGTTAGTGTCTGCATTAGCATTTATTATAGAATGTATATTAACTGGTGTTAACTAACCTATTAAACTATTTACTGATGTGCCTGTCTTTGAGCTGTTGGGATTTTAAGTGCTGTTGGGAGAATGCAAAGGATTTTGCATTTCAGTAGCAAGGAAGGCATTTTGGAAAGTGAAGAACTTCTATGTAACCTGAACTCTGGCAAAGAAAAAACCACCAACCCCAAAGCAATAGGTTTTTTTTCCATCTAGCCCACCATGCCGATACCATTAAAATCAGAAGAAAGAAGAAAAACTTGGTTTACATTTCTGAAATGTGGTATTAAAATCAACTTTTTTTAAAAAAAATATAAACTGTTCTGGCAAAAAAAAAAACTTAAGGCTATGTACATTTTTGAAAAAATGTGGAGGAAAAACGGAATCTTACTGGTTGGCCATGTTCTAAATCCTTTTCCCCTTTTAGTTATAATATAAAATTAATCACTTTGTAATTTTTCTGAGTCTTTAAGTTTTGGGTTGCATTAAAAAAAACCAAAAAACAATACAACAAACCAAATACTTGATACTTGTTTTGAACTAATTATCCTGTAGTCCTATACCATTTCCTTTGCCAACTTTGCTTAACATCTACTGTACCAAAACTGTGAAATGCCTTTGATAGTACACTAATACTTTACCAGTAAGTCGTTTTGTTATAATAGAAAATGTAAATGTAAGATTAATATGTAATTTAAGAAATGCATTTTTTAAAGCTTCTTTTTAAAATGTTGCAAGCTCTTGTAAAGCTTAAGTTTAGTGAAAGACTAATTCAGCAAAAATACCCTTTTGATCTTTTTTACACTTGTCATATGAGGTGATCTATATACAGAGTATATTTTTCTGTGGAGTATAGGCTTTGCATTATGAGGTCAACTTCAGCTGTTAATAATATTAACAGGAACAAGTAGACTTGCTGAAAAATGAGTGTGAAGGGCAAGGAAAGCAAATAGCCAGGTGAGGTCTGTGGGTACACAAATTTTTAGAAATTGGTGTCTTCATAGATATGTCTGCATATGTTAAGGTGTTTTGTGGTTGGTTTGTGTGGGGTTTTTTTTCCCTACCCTTGTTGGCTAACTTTAACACACATAGAAGATTTCTTGGTGTGACATTTCAGACTTGTACAATTTATAGTACTGATAGTTATTAAAATAAATGGTGATTTTTTTGCTTATTTAAAGGAAACCTTCCTGATCCAGGGAAGGCTCAAGATTTCATGAAAAAGTTCACACAAGTTCTAGAAGATGATGAAAAAATAAGAAGTCAGTTAGAAATGCTTGTTAGCCCAACGTGTTCTTGCAAACAGGCTGAAGGATGTGTGGTAAGAATTGCTCTTAAATTATGTGAATATTTTTGGAACTGAATTGAGTATAAATTTAATTGAAACTTATATTGCAGAGGGAAATAACAAAGAAGCTGGGCAATCCAAAACAACCAACAAATCCTTTTCTGGAAATGATAAAGTTTCTTCTTGAGAGAATTGCTCCTGTGCACATTGATACTGAATCCATCAGGTATTTTAGTGTGTGTGTGTGTGTTGTTGACCATAGATCACAGGGTTTGAACTTGGAGTTTCTTATTTCACCTTTAAGCACAAGCAGTAATAGATTGGGTGAGTGCGGTTTAAGGCCTGGTGACGTGCAGTATTTTCTTCTGTTTTCCCTTGCTTGGGGGTTTTTGTGTCCTCATTCAGAATGTAGACACAGAAACAATTGAATTGTCAGTCAGGACAGCCGGCACAACCTGTCAGTAAAAATGGATCTGTTGCTAATGGGAGAAGTTTGGTATTTGACTATATTTTAAAAGAAATTTCTGTCCATGGCTATTGATTGAAGCCTTCCACCCAGAAAGTGTTTATGTCACTCATAGTGACATAAACAGTAATTTTACTGAGGATTGTGGTAACGCAGTAATGAGGCATCGAGACTTTAAGGAAGAGTAAGACAGTGAAATTATGGGAGGGGAAAAAAGTAATTGCTGAAACGATTGTTTAACAGCTGTATTTGAGATAAGTGGTGCTTTATTAGAGACAAATAGTTCTAAATTCTGGTAAACTCTTATCTGTTAATTCCAGATATTGTAATTGACTTATAAGTACTTGAAATTTTCAGTTTCTGCCTGTCAGGTATCCAATGTAATGGAGCCATTGAGGTTTCACTTAAAAATCTGTTTCTGATCTTGGATTAAATACAATGTGTAGCTGTTTTTTTACTTTAAATGTGAGAATACTTTTTTTTTTTTACATTTAAAGAAGCAATATAAAATGTATAGTTAAAGTAATATTCACATGTGGCACCAAGTTGTACCTGTTGACTGACTGCCATACAGTATACAAGCAAAAAAAAAAAAAGCAGTAAAAAGCACATTTTCATGGAATTGCCACGGAATTGGTCTTCTCCCATCTTTGTAAAATTTCACTAAACTTCTGCATCATTTTTGAGATTCAGACTGTTTGTTTTTTTTAATAGATGGTCATTTTGTCAAGTGAGGGGCAGAAAAAACATTGGAAGTCTGGGAAGTTTGACTAGGTGGTCTCTCCCTTGGTTTGTTTGTTTGCTTTTATTTTTAGTTTTCTAGTGCTGGGGGTGGATTTTTTTTTTTTTTGTCTATAAATAGTATTTACAGGATATACTAAAGGAATATTCTGAATTTTGTTTTAATATTATTCAGTTCTTGATCAGGAAGCTGCCTATACCACTCAGTAATAGAATCATTTGGATAATCACCATTTCCCTTCCTAGGGTACAGTGTAAGAAGAAAACCAAGCATTATAGTCAAGGTGAAATTTGCAGGAGATAGGTCTTTCAGATTTTTCATCAACTCGTAGCACAGCTGTTTAATGGTTTATTTTTTTCTCTTGGTTATAGACTAAACATTGTGAACAGTTATTTCTGTCAGTTATTAAGAATGAGTAGCAGCGAGTAGCCTCACTATAATTCTTACCTGAATTTGTTGCTTGTAATGCTTGAATTGTTTTCTCATTTTGGTCATCCTTCTAGATTAATTTGTATATGTTTCTTAATTCATGATGGATAAACGTTTTTGAACTTAATGTTTCATAAGCTTTGATTTAGATAGGAGACAAGGGCAAACAGATTATGTATGTAGTTGACACATTTGTTTTGTAACAAGCTCGTGTTTTATGTTTTAAATAACTTCCTTTAAAGGTATTGTATCTTAAACTTATGAAAATAGTCATACATGATAGAATTGCTTTAAATAAAAGGCCATGTTTTATTTTCCTCTTCAGTGCCCTTATCAAGCAAGTAAACAAGTCTATAGATGGAACAGCTGATGATGAAGATGAGGGTGTACCTACTGACCAGGCAATCAGAGCAGGTCTTGAATTGCTTAAGGCAAGTATACTCCTAGTGGTCAGTGAGCATGTGAAACTTTCTGAAACAACTTTGTTAAAATAAATTTTTAATTAGCACTCGGTATCTTTAGTTATAAGCATGTGATGGCTATCTGGAAGAATACTGGTTTGGTGTTTCTTCTCTATGCTCATCTTATGTGGCACATAAGTAAGGTTATCTTATAATTTAGAAATTTTTATGGAAGTCAAAAGTAGTTGTGTGTGTGACATCAGCAGCTAAGTTTTGATTATTAGATTGTGAATTCAGTGGTTTGTGAATATAGTTATACTACTTTTGGGACAGTACTTGCACGTCAGTACAATATTGTGGTTCCCCTGAGTTCCTCATAAATTGGGGTCTTATCTGTTTCAACTATGTGTAATCTTTGAGACTAATTTGACATTGTGTCATGGTTTAACCCCAGCTGGCAATAAACACCACACAGGCACTTGCTCACTCCCTGCTCTGGTGGGAGGGGGGAGAGAATAGGAAGAGTAAAAGTGAGAAAACTTGTCAGTTGAGATAAAGACAGTTTAATTGGTAAAGCAAAAGCTGTGCACACAAGCAAAGCAAAACTATTAATTCACTACTTCCCATCAGCAGGCAGGTGTTCAGCCTTCCCCAGAAAAGCAGGGCTCCATCACGTGTAACAATTACTTGGGAAGACAAAATGCCATCACTCGGAATGTCCTCTCCTTTCCTCCTTCTTTCCTCAGCCTTATAGACTGAGCATGACATCATATCCCTTTGGTCAGCTGGGGTCAGCTGTCCCAGCTGTGTCCCCTCCCAGCTTCTTGTGCACCCCCAGCTCATTGGCTGGTGGGATGGTGTGAGAAGCAGAAAAGGACTCTGTGTAAGCACTGCTCAACAGTAACTAAAACATCCCTGTGTTATCAACACTGTTTTCATCACAAATTCCAAACACGACCCCATGTTAGCTCCTATGAAGAAAATTATCTCTATGCCAGCCAGCACCAGCACATACAGGAAACCCCCATCAAGATGTATTTCTGGGGACATTGTACAAAATTTCTTGCTCCCTTTTTCCTAGGAGGAAAAGGGCTGATCACTATGTTATTTACAAATACTGTTAGAAGTGTGAAACTTCTACAATTCAACTACATAGGGCTTTTTGTTTCACTTAGTCTCTCTCTAAATTTAGGCTAAAAGCATTGTGTAGTGTCAGCCTCGCCTGTACTTGCACAGAAAGGTACTTGTGGCATAGTACCACCTCACTTATATGATAGTGCTGGGAGTAGTTCAGCTGTGAACTGACGTCAGAGGCCTCAAAATCTAAAGGACTCCCATACTGAAGTTTTCAGAATATCTTAGATCAACAAAGGGCCTAGTAATTCATCTGAGAGCATGTGACTGTTTAGCCCGATGTGCACATTTAGATAAAAGTGCAAAAAGTCAGTAGCACAAAATGAATCTGAGTAAGCATGAATCATGTCATGAAGGACTATATATTTGAAAGAAGGCTCCCAGGTCAGTACTTACATATTCATATGAACTGGCATGATGTATTTAAGGAAGAGGAGTAAGATTGTCCTGAAGAAAGTGGTCTGTACATCATGAGAAGAATCTAGAAGGGACAAATGTAGGAGTCCAGGAAAGAGAACACCATACAGTGAAGCAGAGAGGAAGGTGACTTGCTGAAAATAGAAAAATGTGTGTGAAGAATATCCTAGATTTTGAGGATTGGTTCTTTACCATGGGTCAGAATATTATATAGAAAGAGGCTAATAACAGTCATTTAAAAAGGAAGAGAAGACAAACTTTCAGAGCGTATCAAATGATATTTTTTTTTTTTTTTAACATGGGAGGACTGTCATACTTGAAAACACAGTCCAAGAATATGAAGGAGGGGGTACAGGATTTGGTAAGCTGGTGTGCAAAGCCAGAGGGACTAGAGACCCTATTGAGTTTGTCTATATTACTATTTTAGTGATAGGAACTTCAGAGCACAACCAGTTGTTGCAGTTAGCAAACAAGCATGAAGTCTGAGAAACACAACCTGGTTTTCTTTCAGAGAAACAAGATTGTGAGATGGGCTTCAGAAGCACATATTGTGTTGCAGTGGCCAAAGTGTGGGTTCAGTCAGTCTAGAAATACTCTGAAGTAAAACCACTTAAATGTGAATATTGCTTCCTTGAGCATCAGTTGTGTTTCTCTTCAGACCTGCTTCCGCTGTAATCCAGTACTTGCTAATGTAGACGTAACTGCTGAGAAGTACATGTTCACAATAATAGGAGAAGAAATTGAGGCTGGAGAAATGAGTTAAAACTGATGAGGTCATGTATAAAGACAGAAGTTTAGGAGGTGCTAAAAAAAAAAAGATGAATGTGGATCACATGACAAAACATGAGTATTGTAAATACTCCAGTATTGTAATGTGGTGCGGTTTAATCCCCGTTGGCAACTAAGCACCACACAGCTGCTCACTCACTCCCTACGACCAGTCTGATGGGAAGAGAATCAAGAGGAAAAAGGTAAGCAAACTCAAGGGTTGAGATAAGAACAGTTTAATCATTGACATAAAATACTATTACTACTACCACTACTACTGCTACTACTAAATTGTAATGAAAGGGGAAAGAACAAAAACAGAACCCAAGAAGAACAGTGATACAACTCTTCACTGCCCACCGACTGATGGCCAGCCAGTCCCAGAGCAGTGATCTCGCCCCCTGGCCAACTGCCATAGCTTTTATGCTGAGCGTGATGTATTACAGTATGGAATATCCCTTTGGCCAGTTTGTGTCAGCTGTCCTGCTGTGTCTTCTCCCAACTGCTTGTAGAGAAGAAGTTGGAAGGGTAGGGGCAATATAAGAAGCTGAAAATGTTCTTGGCTTAATGTAAGCATTGCTTAGCAAAGACCTCAAACATCACTGTGTTATCAACATTGTTCTCAGCACAAATCCAAGAACATAGCCCCATACTAGCTACTGTGTAGAAGATTAGGCCTATCCTAGCTCAAACCAGCACACAGTGGAAAATGACTCTTGATGGAATGTTCTATATAAGTGGGCCTTTACAAAATATTAACGTGGCTTTCATCTTATTTTTGCAGGTACTTTCATTTACACACCCTATCTCATTTCATTCGGCTGAAACTTTTGAATCTCTCCTGGCTTGCTTGAAAATGGATGATGAAAAAGTGGCAGAAGCTGCATTACAAATTTTCAAAAATACAGGAAGTAAAATTGAAGAAGACTTTCCTCATATACGATCGTAAGTTTTATATCTCACTCTGTTTGAGTAGTGTTCTTTAGTGTAAGGGATTTTGGAAGTTCTCAGTCTTCCTTTTGCATGCTATAGAATTATCCTGCATTCTTTTGGAAGAAAGTATTGCTTCAGGTAAAACAGGAAAGAGATTTGAATGACTTTAAAATGCAGTGCTTTTTGAAGAACAGAAGTGACATGTATATATTCAAAGTACTGACAGCTGTTACGTAACTGATACTGTTGTAATTTTTATCATTACCCTTCAGAATTACTTATGTTTTTTCCTAAATTAAATATATGGCAATGTACAAACTTTCTTTGCAATTTAATGGGGATGTATAGAAAAGATTATTTCCAAAAGAGCATTTAGTAAGCATATAAAATGTTTGTTTTACCACAATATAATTTATCAACAAAAACTGAGGGGTTTTTTTACTTGCAAGACATGTAAATAAACCTTTTTTTCTTTCTTTGAAGAAGTTGCCAAAACCAGGACAATTGGCACTTTGACAGAGGTGTTGTGTTCTCTCTCTCTCTCTCTCTATGTATATATATCTGTACTTTTTTGTACTTTTTTGCTAGTTTGATGTTTTGGAAGATTTTCAGTTTGTGAAAAGGTACTTATCTCTCTTTTTTTAGTGCTTTGCTTCCAGTGTTGCATCATAAAGCTAAAAAGGGACCCCCTCGTCAAGCCAAGTATGCTATTCACTGCATCCATGCAATATTTTCCAGCAAAGAAACACAGTTTGCACAGATATTTGAGGTAAAATGAAAATTTTTAAGTTAACTTTTATTAATCTTTTATATTGCATATGTAAACTAAGGGATGTAGTGGCAATTTATATGGCAAGTTGTATCAAATTTAGAAAATATATTTTTTCCCTTTCCCTTTGTTCTCATACAGTTTGGTGTTTTTGTATCCCATGATCCATCATGTTTAGGGTTGTGTACTTTGACAGACAATAGAGTAAAAAAAATTGTTGGACTGTCTGCTAGAACCATGAACTATTTGTGGAAAGAGGAACTGTACACCACTCGTCATGCCTGTTGAGACTTACCCAAACTGTTTAAATGGTTGCAGAAATTATGGAAAACTGAATTATGATAGGCACTATTTAAATAGATTTTGTAGCTATAACTGCAAGTGTACTTTTTAATTAGTGCCCATTAGCCTTTTATCTTGAAGGCTGAATCATAGTCCATTACTGAAATTGCCATTTTGAGATGTAGTATGCCCACTTTTTCAACAAGAAAATATGCTTTTTAATCCATTGTTTTCCTGCTTGAGCTGCCACTTATTGAACTACCCAGATGTGATAAACGTTTAGTCTGTCGACTTGGTTTTTCTTTTGATTTGTAGGAGACTTGTAAGGTTGGTGAATGTGTCTTTAAATATAAATAGTTAATAGTTTTTTTAAAAATTGTATTTCTGAAATAGAAATAGACATGGAAAACTTGTTACAGAACTTTCACCCCAATCCCCCAGTAAGAGACAGATATATCAGTAATACCTGAATTTGTTGCCTTTTTTCTAGCCACTGCATAAAAGTCTGGATCCAAGCAATTTTGAACATCTCATTACACCATTGGTTACTATTGGCCACATAGCCATGCTAGCGCCTGATCAATTTGCTGCCCCTTTGAAATCTTTGGTTGCCACTTTTATTGTTAAAGATTTGCTAATGAATGATAGGGTAAGTATTTTTAAACCTTGTATTAAGATTCTGCTTCTCCCATAGTATGATACTCAGCAAATACTTGTGAAAATTTTGGCTGGTTGGTTCTTTTTGTATATGGTTGTGTTTGGGTTTCCACATGTGCTCTTTGACTCAGCTGAAAACACACAGTACAGGAAAGGAGACAGTAATAAGTTGGTTGTCCTTGCAAAAGCAACAAGCTGTATAGCACAGCATTTGATTCACTCATGACTTGCCTTTTGTTAAAAACGGAAAAATGGTTATTGACTTGACTCACTATGTCTTTTGAGCAAGCAAGTTGTGATTTTTTAGGAAGTAAATTGCATGTGAAACTAAAATACACTTTAAATGAAAGACTGAATTTGATAGTGATTATAAAGTGGAAAAAAAAAACCAACACGTGAAGTGTCAGCCATGGTTCAGGGAAAGATTTACTGTCTAAAACTATGCACTTGAGATTCCAATCTACTGGATGTGGAAACTCAAATTTATTTTCAAAGCAACGGCTGTTAACACTTTAAAGCAGCAGTTTTCAGGTAACAACAACATCAGTAACAGAACCCTTTACAACTCTTAAATTTGCTGATACTTGAATAGTGAGGTAAGATCAGTATCTCACTTCTGTAATGGTTACTTACATAAAATACAGAAGGCATAAAGCTAACCAGTGAGCGCTGCTGTATTGTTTTCAGAAGCAAACAGGAAAGACTAGATTACAGCAGATGTCACTGAAGACTAAAGGCTGTGTAACAAATTCTAACATTTGGTTTAGCTTCCAGGAAAAAAGACAACAAAACTTTGGGTCCCAGATGAAGAAGTGTCTCCTGAAACGCTTGTTAAAGTAAGTAGCACTTGCTGTATTTTCCTATGATTGTATGTGTAATACTTAATAATGAAAGTTAGATATCTGGATTCCTAAAGCTGTTAACTGCTTTTCTCTATTTCCTTGTCAACTTTCAAAAAATAAAAAAACCCCAACCAACCAAACAAAAAAAAAGCCCCACAAAAACAAAAAAAAAGAAAAATCCCACAAAAAACTCACAAACAAACAAACAAAAAACACCCCAAAATAAACAAACAAAAAAACCAACCACATTTAAATTGAGGATCATATCCGAATACATATTTTTGGATTGTCAGAAGAAAGTAACTTCATTTTGGGGAACATCTACTTTTTTTACTTTTGTAAATAAATTTGCATATACTCTATTGAATTTTTATTGTAACTTAGTAAAATTATTTTTTCCCTCCTGTATGACATAGGAGGTAAAGACTATAGAGACTTTGTTTAAAGTCTTCCCTTTGTCTTTTGAATTTTTAGGACATTCCAAGAAACTTTCAGTGCTGTTTTGGAATAAAGAAAAAAATGTTCTTGGATTTATCAGTTTCCTCAAGTGGATAAATGTGTTACACTGCTTTTCTGTGTGTAAAATGTATTAGAAGAAAAACCTAGATTTTTTAAATAAAGCTAAGCACTTTAAAATGGTAGGGGTTCTGTTGGGGTTTTTTTACTTAAAAACGTTGTCTCCAGCTGCTTCTTTTTTTTGGAGTAAGTTTATTATTACGGTTTTTGGGCTTGGTGATAGATATTCTCACTCAGTTTTTCACTCAATCAGAAATAGACTTACACTGTGGAAAATGCATCCTTTGTACTTGTTTTGAAATGCCCTTCAGAACAGGGATAGATTATGCTTTCACATTTTCTTTCAGAATTATAAAGAAGCATGATGTTTGTAGCATGCTGTTTCTAAGTTAATTATAGCAGTCATTTAATTTCCAATGCCTTTTGAATACAGTTGCTTTGGTTTTATGAAGTTCTTTGCCTTCTCTCTTGAAGTTGTTAAACACTTTGTAGCATACCTTCTTCTCTGCTGGTTTATTAAGTGCTTTGGTTTCCAGCTTGGTACAGAACTAGAAATACTCAGTTATGTTTGAAATTGATTTGTTAGCTTTTTATTCATTTGACTACAGCAATGGTATTTTTTTGTACTTGTGCAATTCCATAGTCACACAGTATAATCCAAAAACTGTTGAAAGAATGCATGTTTGTTTTGTTTTCATGAGCTGATAGTTTAAAATGGACATGATTTTCACATCAGTGATTATACATGTAACGTGAAGTAGTAAATACTAATTGTTTAGTTTTTTTTTTAAATGATGTGTGGAGCTCTAATATCTCTCTAAATGCATTTTTGGTGTTGATAAAACTTTTCACGCAATTGGCTGTTTGGAAGGCAATTTGCTTATAGAAAATCTTAAGGCCACTTGAAGCCAAACCTGAAAGCTGTAAAAAGCGTTTACTGGCAGGTGAAAACAGGTTATTATGAAAATTGGTTTGCAAATATAATTCACATTTATTACCACCGAGAAGCCTATATTTAGCGAATGCTGCAGGCCACACCATTAGTTTATAAATGAACCTGATAGTGTATTTTTCTTTACTCTGGTTTTAAAAGCCATTTAAAAAAATACTTCCTTTGTAACATAGCAGCTTAGTATACCTAATGGGGATCTTAAAACTAGCAAGTTTAAGTATGAAAGGGGGATGGAGTGATGAAGACAAAATTATGGTATTGTCCAGCCTAACAGATGTAGACTGATAAAGGCTAGCCTTAGTTTTGGATGCTAAACCTTAAACAAAATTATGGCTGTAGAGAAATGTTTCAGCGTAGTATTAAATATGAATTGGATTAATTATTGTATGAGTTAGAATTTAATTCCTATGCCTGGCACTTGAGTGGCTGCTCTAAAGCAGTAATCTCTCTGGACAGTGACCAGCACTGAATACTTCTGTGCACCATGCAGTGTATTGAGACTTCTGTAGTAGCAATGATATTCGTCTCCTTCTGTGTACACTGCATTATAAGGTTTCTAATCCTGTTTCTCTGACTGCGCTGTAAGCGGTCATTGTTTCATTTTTCAAGACTGCACAAACCTCCAGCATTTGTGGCTCTGCAAACTCAAGTAGTAGAAACCTAAGCTGGCTGTTGCCATAATGTTGATGCGGTAGGAAGACAGTGTTTCTAGGATTGCTGCATGAAATGGGAGCCCATTATACTTCAGCAGTGGAGGTATGATGATAATCTATCTCTAGATCAGAGAAAAGGGCTATAGCTATCTCTTGATTATTTTTAATTGTTAATTTTCATCTTAAATTAGTACTTTTTCACTACTGACAGTTTATGTAAAGCTAGTAGTTAATTGCAGTTTTCCCATATGACAAATCAGATCTGTCACATTATGTTCACTATCTTAGAAATAAATGATGGTGTCATATCACTTTTGCTTGAACTTCAAATACACGCAGTTCATGTTGTGCTGTGAAGTCTAGTACAAAGCAGTCATTTGTGGCATTTGATATTGTTCTGACCTATGTTGTATTTTGACTTTCTTGATATTTTCATGTTGCATATAATAATTTTTAATTTCAGAGGGGAAATCTAGACTCATGGGACACAAATTGAAACAAAGAGGTTCAGACTGGGTATAAGGAAAAAAGAAATTAGAACAGTCAGGCAATGGAATGGGTTGCAGGAGGTTCCAGGTTGCCAAGAGGGCCTATGCTATCTCCATTCTTGGAGGCTTTCAACACCATGATGGATAAAACTGAGACCAATGTGGTATGACTCCATAGCTGACCTTCCTTTGAGGAGGAGATTGGACTAGAAACCTCCTCCCATTCCTTCCAACTGGAATTATCCTTTGGTGGTTATCCTCTTGGGCTGTGAAGAGAAAAATTAAAACCTAAGTGCAGTGCAAACTCTTCTCATGTTTGTTTAAGTCTTCAGGTAGCCAGAAGCAGTGACTGAGGGAGTTCTCATGCCCCGTACCAATTTCATGGGAATGTGTAATTGTGAAGAGCTGCTGGAATGGCATCACATCATTAATACCAGCAAGAAACACGGAACATAGTGTGGTCAGAGGAAAACTCTAAAGGAGTTGGGATGAGGGCTTGCTACATGGAAGGAAGACTAGAGTAGATTCAAGACAGTAAAACTGGGAGAAGGCAGTTGTTGAGGGGGAAGAGAGAAGCAAAGGTTAAAACTGAAATTGCTCAGGAGCTGACCAGAGATGTCAGGGCACAAGATAGCATGTGGCTGTTGCCTGGCTGAATACATCATTTACTTGAAGACCAAATAGAGCTAGCATGTTTCTGTCCTCCCAACAAATGGGAGGCGGTAACGGTACAGGTACTGGTTATGACATGAAGAAACTGAATTGGTGAGCTGTCAAAAGATCTGCTGCTGCTATTGTTGCATTGTTTTTTTTTGTTGCATTGGTTTTTTTGTGCTATTAAAATCTTCTGGTGGATACTTACAGCTGTTTCAGTGGAAGACCCTTTGAAAGCTAGGGCAAGACAATTTCATTTCTCTTCCACAAACTCCGTTTGCATTTTGAGTTCTTGAGTGACAGACATCCTACCTCTTGATGGTGTTACCCAATAGAATTAGCATTCTGTAGGTGGAGTAAATTGGCTATAGTGATAAAAAATAAGCCCACATATAGATGACAGTTCTAGAACTTAGATCTGAAGGGACCATTGTGATCACTTTGTTACATGGAATAGATCAACTGTATGATGAACTTCATTTGGTGATATTGTGAATGTTTACATAAAGTTACTTAGAACTGCCTTTTCCATTAAGGAGAAAATTTGAAGTTACTGTGTACAAAAAGTGCTAGCTTCCTTTCCACCATAACCTAGTTCTTCCAAAGCTTGTGAGTTTTGTGTTTTGAACTTCAAGGTTTGGTGTTCTGGTTTCTTTGGTTTTGGTTTTTTTTTTTCCTTTTTTCCCAAGGATGTCCACATGATTCAGATGAGCATTTTCATTTTGCTGTAAGAGGATACTCCTCTTTTTGTTTTCTTTATTGTCTCTGCTCTCGTATGGAAAAAAAATGAAAGGATGAAGGAATTCAAATACCAAAATAAACTTAATCTCCAAGTTCATGCTTTATTTTTTATTTCTCACTAAAGAAACATGTGAAATTTTTCAGTGTTTCACAATAGCTGCTAGATTCTGCATACTTTTAAAAGCTTGCCTCAAAACACTTTGTTTCTATTGACAAACGACAAGTTATCCTAAGTAACAGGCTTTGAGGCTTTTCTTTAAATAGCCATGAAAGAAATATTATTTTCCAGGATGCGTTATCTTAATACAGGTTAATACTCTTAGCAGTCAAAATGTCTATGAAGTGTTTTTTATTTTACATGTCTTAAACTTAAATATTACATATATAAGTGAAGAATATATAGGGATTGTTTAAGCACAGGAATTGTGGGAAGATTAAAATGTGTTCTGCTTTTTTGATCCAGTAACATTTTCTTAATAGATGTAAATTGTTTTGCCTATTTTGTTTAATAGAAGTAAGGTCAATTAAGGTAATGTTTTCACAAGACAAAATATGTGATTGCATAGTAGAAGAAACAGTTCAACTTTTAACTAAATGTTGTGTGATTTTTATTTGCTGTAATAAATGCTTGAGACTTTCAGTGAAAAGTTGCTGTCTAGTGAGAGTACATCTAGTTTATCTTTCAGTATTTAAATGATGTTTTGCAACCTTCACAGGCTTATGTTCGTAGCAGCAAAAAGCACTTGGGGAAAATACTGTGTGATTGAATTAAGATAAATATTATTTCACAAAATAGGCTCATGGTGTCATTTGACTTCTACATATCAATTATTTTTCAGATTCAGGCTATCAAGATGATGGTTCGATGGCTGCTAGGAATGAAGAACAACCACAGCAAGTCAGGAACTTCTACTCTGAGGTTGTTAACGACAATATTACACAGTGATGGAGATTTAACAGAGCAGGGGAAAATTAGGTATGTCACAGATGGTAATGTTTTGATGTCTGTGATGATGTGGCAGGAAGAATTTTAGTCAAAGTAGTAAAACTGTTCTGTTAGACTGCTTAACAACTTGTACATCTTATTTCATAAGAATAGTAAGCTTGGCTGGATTCCTACCCAAGTTTGCCGAGTCTCAGGGTTTTTAACACTGTGGATATAGCTGTATTTTAATGGTTTTATCGTCTTTATCTGTTTCGTCGAAGGGCCATTACTCATATTACAAGAATAAACTGTAACTTTCTCTTTCCCATTGAAAATTAGTTTTAACCTTTTATGCAGCTTGTTGTTCATGATATACCAATTGTGGATGCCAAAGGCTGCTAGGCAGGCTTTCTAATAAAAATAATAGCAAGTTGCAGTAAACCAGGTGGGAATAGCTAGTACTTAAAGCACTTCTGCTTGAAGGCAGACTTTAATTCCTTGAGGCCTCTAAAAGTGAAAGGAAGAGGGAAATGTGTAAAGAGGATTAAGTCTCAATAACTAATTTACCTTTTAGATGATTGTTAGATAACTTGGTTTTTCTAGGTATCTTTTTAATGTGCTGCAGCAGGAGAAGTGACAAGCTGTCAGCCTCTGTTGCTTGCCAAACACTGAAAATTGGTCTACAAAAGCCATTAAGGTCATGGGTGGATTGTGCCAGTATGAAGAAAAAGGTTTTAATTTTTGGGTGGAGTTTAATTTTATACAGTGATTATACAGATAGAACCTATATTGTGTATGCAAAATTGCAAACCTGAGAATTGTCTAGTATGTTATCTTTGTGGCAACTGTGTAGCCTTTCTTAAAAGTTCCTTGTAAATAATTGTTTCATAGTTTTAAATTCTGTAATATGACCATTCGTGGCAGTTACTAGGGAGTTAAGTGTCAGTAACTTAGCGTTTCAGCATAACTGCTTGGAGCATGTTGGTGGCTTATCCCGTAGTTTGTCAATAGATCAGTTCTGTAGGTCCTATGTGTTTTCATGCTTGGAGTAACAATTCCTTACTGTGCATGTTTTAGAAATTTAATTTTTCCAGTCTTTTTGTACTCAAAACAATAAATAATAATAGAAACTATGTATAATGATGTGATCAGTTCTCCATTATTAAAGTTAATGGAGAGCTGGGGATACTTTTAGGGGAGGGACATAGGAGGTTGCTCTGTGTTAAAGGCAACCCTTCAACCCCAGAGCTTGGAGCTCTGCCTGGGCATGGATGATGAGCCAGCTGAGAGTTTATAGGTTAGGATTAAAGAGTAGACTGGTATGAGTGACATTATAGTAGGTGTCTGCTGTAGGACCCCTGACCAGGAAGAAGAAGTGGATGAGGCCTTCTGTAAAGAGAAGCAACTTCATGTTTGCAGGTCTTGACCCTCATGGGAGACTTCAACCACTTAGATATCTGCTGGAGGAGCAACATAGCAGGACATGAACAATCCAGGTGCTTCCTGGAGACCATCAATGACAACTTCCTGACACAAGCATTAGAGGAGGCAATGAGGAGAGGTGCTCTGCTGGACCTCATACTCACTAACAAGGAGGGACTTGTTGGGGGTGTGAGGGTTGAAGGCAGCCTTGGTTGTAATAACCATAAGATGATGGAGTTCAGAATCTTGAGGGCAGCAATGAGGGCAAAAAGCAAGTGCTGCACTTCAAGAGAACAGACTTGGGCCTCTTCAAGGGTCTGGTTAGTAGAGTCCCATTGGATAAGACCCTGGGGGGAAGAGGGCCCCAAGAAGGCTAGTTAGTATTCAAGCATCATCTCCTCTAAGCTCAAGAGTGGTCAAAGCAGAAGGTCAAGGCAAATATTTCAGCAGACCTGCATGGATGAGCAAGGAACTCCTGCAAAACTCAGACACAAAAGGAGGGATTGAGAGCAGCCCTGTGGAGAAGGACTTGGAGGTACTGGTGGATGAAAAGCTGGACATGAGCCAGCAGTGTGCACACGCAGCCCAGAAAGTGAAGCATATGCTGGGCTGCATAAAAAGAAGCATAGCCAGCAGGTCGGGGGAGGTGATTCTGTCTCTCTGCTCTACTGTGGTGAGACCCCACCTGGAGTACTGCATCCAGCTCGAGTCCTCAGCACAGGAACGACAAGGATCTGTTGGAGTGGGTCCAGAGGAGGGCCACAAAGATGGTCAGAGGGCTGGAGCACCTCCTGTACGAGGACAGGCTGAGAGAGTTGGGGTTGTTTAGCGTAGAGAGGAGAAGGCTCCGGTGAGACCTTATAGCAGCCTTCCAGTACTTAAAGGGGACCTAGAAGAAAGATGGGGATGGGCTTTTTAATAGGGCCTGTTGCAATAGGACAAGGTGTGATGGTTTTAAACTAAAATAAGGTAGATTCGGACTAGATAGAAGGAAAAAAAAATTATGATGGGGGTGGTGAAACACTGGAATAGGTTGTCAAGAGTAGCGGTAGATGTCCCATCCCTGAAAACATTCAAGGTCCAGTTGGGTGGGACTTTGAACAACCTCGTTTAGTTGAAGATGTCGCTGCTTATTACAGGGGTGTTGGGCTCGCTGACTTTTAAAGGTCCCTTCCAACCCAAACTATTCTATGATTCTACTGTTCTACAGAAAGTAGAAGTAGGGACAGGTAACCTGGCAGGAATACAGAGAACACTGCTTGAGGCACAGTCAGGAAAGACAAAGCCCAACTGAAATTGAATCTAGTGAGGGATGACAAAGACAACCAGAAGAGCTTTAAGTAAATAGGTGACAAAAGCAAGACTAGGCAAAATATGCACCCGCTGCTGAATGAGGCAGGAGCCCTGCTGACACAGGACATGGAAAAGCTTGAGGTACTGAATGCCTTCTTCACTTTAGTCTTTACTAGCAAGACCAGCCTTCAGGAATCCCAGGCCATAGAGACAAGGGGAAAGTCTGAAGCAAGGAAGACATACCCTTGGGGGAAGAAGATCAGGTTAGAGAATACTTAAGCAAACTGGATGTGTATAAGTCCATGGTCCTTGATGGGATCCACCCATGAGTGTGGAGGGAGCTGGCAGATATAGTGGTGAAGCCACTCTTGATGCCCTTTGAATGATCATGGTGATTGGTAGAGGTGCCGGAAGACTGGAGGAAAACCAATGTTCCTCCTCTCTTCAAAAAAAACAACACAAAAGGAGGACTCAGAGAACTAACTACGGGCCAGTCAGCTTCACCTTGATCTCTGAGAAGGTGATGGAACACCTGAGCTCCCTAGTATGAGAGATGAGGAGCTACTGGAATGAGCCCACCTGTAGGGCCATGAAGATGCTTAAAGGACTGGAGCAGCTTATGGATGAGGAAAGGCTGAGAGAGCTCTGACTGTTCAGCCGAGGGAAGAGGCTTGGTGAGGATCTCATCAACGTATATAAATAAGTGAACAGAGGGCATAAGGAAGATGGAGTCAGGCTCTTCTTAGTGATGTGCAGTGACAGGACCAGAGGCGGTAGGTACAAATTGAAATACAGGAGGTTCTGTCTGAACACAAGGAAATACTTTTGCACTGTGAGGGTGACTGAGCACTGGCACAGGTTGTGCAGAGAGGTGGTGGAGTTTCCTTCCCTGAAGAAATTAAAAAGCCATCTGGACACTGTCCTAGGCAGCCTGCTCTTGGTGACCCTGCTTGAGCAGAGAGGTTGGGCTAGATGACCTCCAGAGGTCCCTTCCAACTGTAACTATTCTGTGATTCCCAGTGTTGTGTTTTGGGGAAAGCTCTAAGCTGCAAGGAGGGCAGGTGTCCATTGTCTCTGTGTGAGCTATACTGTCTATGCTAGCAAGTACTCTCAAACCTGAAGCAGAGGAGATGATGTTTCGGGTGCATTAGTTCTGCATGCAGCTTGCTGGTATCTTGCTGACACTTCCTGACCTTTATTCTTCACCCTTTGATAATGCAACAAGGATATCTTCTTTCTGGCAGTGCTTACTGTGTCCCTGCTGTGCAAATCTGACACTGCTCCTTCCAAATTAGAGTAGGCTTTGGAAAGAGTAAATTGCCTGTTGAATACAGAACATAATCTCTTAAACTATAGTTGATCTGATGTCATTCTTTGTAGAGTCAGTTTTTGTGTTTGTGGCTTGCATTTGTCTTTTGTCTTGTAAACAATGTATAATTTGCTAAAGATAATTGAATTAACTGGAAGTGGTAGGATTCAGGAGATGTTTGACCTCATGCAGGCCATTAGTCATATAATATCTTGGTGTTACTGTCCTCATCAGCCATAAAAATGACTGTCCCCGTGCCTGTTTAAATCTGCATGTCTGTACTTTTCAGTGACAGTGCAAGGGGATAGGATTTTTTAAATTTCAAAGCATGGTTTAGCGTAGAGTGCCAGGTGAAGACAAGGTCCTACTTGGAAAACAAATAAACAAATCCCTACTCTTGTTCAGCCTTCTCGCTTTGAAGCAGTAGGATTGATAACTTTGTTGAGTTGCTTTTAAGACAACTGATTGCTTTGAGATGTTAGCATATGTAGGTTAAATTCACCAGTGTCAGATTTTTCTAATATTGAATTTTGTCAATAAACAATATCTCAACTGTCCTTTCAAGGTCTTTACTTTTTCATTTTATAAGTCATAAATAGTCCTACAAAATTAAAATTAATGACTATACTAATTTTCTATTTGAAGTTGGGTAAAACAGCTAAGTTGAGTCTTATATGTCTTTGTAGTAGGATTTTAATTTTAATCTATGCTAAGCATAAAATAAGAGTGTTTCAGTATCAAAGGACACTAACTGTTGCTGAAAGTATTGATATTAGATGTGAACCTGAATTGAGATTTTTGTGAAATGCTATCTGCATTTTCCTTAAACTGAAGCTTACCAAGAGAAAAAATACTTAAAAACTTTGCAGTTTAGAACTTCATAGTTCTGTGTTATCAGATGGTGTAGTATATTGTCTATATGCAACATTTTCAGAGGTTATATTGAAACAACACTTTTTATTACATGGAAAATGCTTAGAAAAATGGACACTGACATTTATGGTCTGGAGTAGAAGAAAAAATGTTAACTGCTAGTTTGTAAAGGGACAGAAGATGGTTATGCACCAGATATGTTTTCAAGATGCATTTATTTGAATTATATTTGTGCAGCCCACCACCTTAATTAAGACTGTGTTTTGTATTTGATAACATCATTCCATGTGGTTGCACTTTATTCTCATTTCAAACATCTGATCTTCAGCAATAGTAATAGCACTCCAGGGAACAGATGTCCAAGTCTGTCTTGTATCTCTTAGAGAGCTCCTGATAGGATAAGGGCATCCTTGGTACTAATTTTCAAAATTATTAGAAGTAATCAAAAACTGCAATTATACAGAAGCTTTTATTTCAGCCCTAATAATTGTGTATTTTGGGATAATGCAGCTCAGAAGGCTTTTGGCTATAATAATTTGATAAAAAAAAATCCTCTATTAAGAGTTTCTTCTAAGATAATCCTTTTGGGGAATAACTCAGATGTGATTTTCATCTTCAGCTGTAAGAATGATATTCACAGCTGACACTGTCCTCCTCTTCTTTCCCACAGTATGCACACATGCTTGTGGGTATTTCTGTGACACATATACTCTATGAAGATTTGGCCAACTTTTATGTGAAATATCTTTGATTCAATTTTCAGAATTAAATGTTATAATTACCAAAGCTGAGAAAGATTGAAAGTTCTTAATTTTATCCTTTCCTTTGGCTCAGTCACTCTGTACTTGCAAGTCATTATTGCTTAATTGTCACAGAAGGGCAAAAATTTAATCTTTATTGAGTTCACTTATCACAATAGATGCAAATTAAAGTGAAATTTAGCATTTAAAACTAGATGTTACCATGTTAATCTTCATGGTTTGTTTGAAAGTTAGTGCAGCTTTTGTTCTGTCACTTAATTGCTTATGATCTATATATATTTTTTTTAATGTAGTAGTTTCCATAAAATACTGAGGTGTGTATAAAGCCTGATTAGATAAATTTTAAGCTTTAAGCTCTTTAGGTATATTTATCATCCATTCGGTGCAAAATAATGGCTTTTTATCTCATTCTGTAAATGCTTTTTACAGTTTTCATTATAATAGATTTAAGACTACAGTGTTTGCTCTTCCTAAGTATAAAGGGCAAATTAGTTAACAATATTTGTCCTGCTTAAATGAGTAATTATTTCTAAATAAGAATACAACTTGATTTCTGCTCCAAGTTGTCAGACTTACTACATCTGAGTAGAATTCATTAGTGTCTTAAGTGAGAGATGCATAAAACTTCTTATTTTGCATTTGATCTGAAGAAAGGTGGAAGTCATATACTTTACTGAAAACAATTTTCTAAAACCTGTGAAAGCTCTACTAAGTTTATTAATGCACACATTAAGTGGTCAGTTTGCAAAGCTTATATTGGAAGCTATGTTCTGATAACCTTTGTAGATATGGTTTTGTGTTACAGAAAACCCCATTCATCTTTTGATATGAAAAAGCAAATGGTTGGTGTGTTTTGCTAGGTGGGAATGCAATTTGGGTGTGCAAGTCAAGTAACAATACTTTCACCATGTTGAAAATTTTTTCACTTGCCTAAATCCTTTTTTGCTGTTGTCTTAAAAGTACAATTCACTTAGTAACTTATCATAATAACTAATTAATCTTAATTTAGGTTGACTTGCAGCATGGATTTTGAGCTATCATTGCTAGAAAAACCTTGGCTACTTTGGGGACTAGAAATGGGCTGCTACTTCGGCAGGAGCCCTCTGCAGAAGGAAAACCAGTACGATGAACATAAGTATCTCACAGGCTAAATGAGCTCTTTGAGGGGCAGTTTGGACTGTGTTGGTCCAGTGCACAGCTAAAACTGTTTCACACCCATGTGGAACTTTTAGGAAGTTTAAAGGAATATTTTAATTGCTAAGTTGGGGCAAGGTAATAGGTATATGGTAATAGGCTGTAAAATGAGGTGCCATGGAAACTACTTTTGGTTTGAAGTTACTTCTGCTGTTGATTCCGAGGCGGGGGGACGGGAAAACTATTCCTTCTTTTTAAAGTACCCATTTTTCAGTAATGCAAACTTATTGGGATTTAATTAAATCAAATAATTACATAATTTTTTTACTCATTAACCTTCATAACCCATGTGCTTGTTTTTCAGTAAACCTGATATGTCTCGGTTGAGGCTGGCTGCAGGGAATGCTATTGTGAAGTTGGCACAAGAACCTTGTTATCATGAAATCATCACCTTAGAACAGTACCAGCTGTGTGCGCTAGCCATAAATGTAAGGAAATTAGGTGGGACTTGTGCATTATCAGCAAATGTATGACTATATATGTTGTTCTGTTTGTTGTGTATACTTCTGCTAATCTGTTTTTATGCGAAACGTACAGGCTTGGCATGAATTTATTTTCCCCACTACTTAATCCTGAAAACTGATTTTGGATGAGAATTAGATCTACAGAACTGGGCTGCCTAGTGAGGGAATGCTAACTTAAAGTAGTGAAATGTTAGAATATTGATAAACCAAGGGATTCAGTAGTGATTTAAAATAAAACCTCAGCTTCATTATGACATTATTAAAAGTTGAAATGATATGATATATAAGTACGTTGGACTGTGGTGAAAACAATGACCTTGGTTTCTTCATACTTGGGTAGAATATATTTGGAATGCAGAGGTCTGCAAAGATAGTTGGCATCCTTTAAATATTGTAAGAGATAGGGAGATACTTCTCAGTAGATGTTGGGATCTTCATCCTTAATTTCTGCCAGTGAGCCCACAGTAGCAGAAAGGAAATAACTTTGTAAGTAGAGATATAGAGATCCTCTATGTTCCTGTCTTGCAGACTTAGCAAATTCTACAGAATTGTGTCTGAGGGATACAAGCTGCTTTGCTAATATTTTTCTTTTTAAATACTTCTAAGTGGTGAGCTTCTGATGAATTTGCATTAAATTCAGAGAAGTAAATAAGTAAAACTGGGCTAATGTATGGGGTTTAGTTGCATGCTATTAAAAAAATCTAGAACTTGGTTGAGTTTGATCCCCCTTCCTCTCAGTGAACTAGTGTAACTGAGCTGAATTTAAGGTTATTCTCAATATTAAAAAGTAAATAAAAATAATTCAAATTTGTACCACACAACACCATCAATAACAATCAACTATACCTTCCTTTGACTTCTAAGTCAAGGAGTACATGCTTCCTTGTCAATATACCAACTAGGCACAGGTCTCTTCTAAGGTTTACAAGGGCTTTAGACTTGGGTAATGTTACTGAGCAGGAAAAGGCAGCTGTATCTTAGCCTTCTGCTGGGGGCTGGATTTGCTATAAAGAGTCAATAGATCCTGAGTAGGTCTCACGGTTTGGGTTTGTGGTCTTGGGTTGCTTCAGCTCTGGCGACAGCAGGCATTTCAGAGTTTCAGTCCATAAAGGAAGACTACGTCTTGAAGCACAGAAGGGAAAATGGGTTTTGATTAATGTCGTTTGGATTTAATTTTTAGGTGGGGGGAGAGGGAAGCTTATTTTATCTAATACATGATCTCTTTTGATACCATTTGCAGATTTAGCAGAGCCAGTGTTACCAGTGGCTAGGTTTTGTCTCTGTACTTCCAGTTGGTTGATAGGTGGAAACCCTCTTCAATTCTTTCTGGTTTCAAAACTGTCATTTGGCTAAAACAGCTGTTTATTGCTGTTAATGTGACTTTCTTCATATTTAGAGATAACAAATTATTCCTCTTGACCTTTTAAATATGCCAAGCTGTTTTGGTGGCCTTGTTTACCTTATGCTTTTCTGTCTATTTTTTTTCTGTTTTCATCTCCTGCTTCTGTTAATCTTGATTGCCCTGTGTTACTAAATGGTTTGTGTAGATTGAATGGTGTCTTAAAGTATGTAGGTTATTTTCATACAGAGAAATTTCAAGTTCACATGTTTTCTGGAAATACATTGCATAATAAATTTTATAAGTGCATTTGCTACCTTCATATTATTGTACTTTATGCTATTTGGCAGCTATTAGACACGGGTTATCCTCTTCCATGCTCAGTCATAGTTCATTGGTTTCCAAAGTGTAATGGAAATGCTTGGTACTTTCTTCAGTGTTTAACCTCATCTTATCTGTTCATTCTGTTGAATTTTTTTCAGTTTCTAATATTAATGGCTTGATTAAAACTTGTGAAATTGCAGTAGTAAAATCAACAGAGTGGTTTCTGGTGGCTAAACACTGTTCTGGTGCAGATCTTTGACTTTGGCTCCACAAAGCAAGTAGTCCTATTGCAAACCATGTAATTAACTCCATGCCTCAACACTATACTAAATTAGGCCTTGGGTCCTGAGTGTGAAATTTTCCTGTGCGGTTTCTGAACCTTAACTCTTCTCCTAATTAATTCAATTTAATTGCTATGAATTGGCACTAAAAACATTCTTAAAATTCCTATCTTTCTGTGGCTGTAAGGTCTGAAATTTATTTTTGGCATATTTACCCAGGCTTCCGTGTTTTATTTCAGTCTTTATTACTTTTAGAAAAGCTTACTGTTACCATTTTTGCTTTTGCCTTTTTTTTTTTTTAATAGGATGAATGTTACCAAGTGAGACAAATATTTGCTCAGAAGCTTCACAAAGGCCTTTCTAGACTACGGCTGCCACTAGAATATATGGCTATTTGTGCACTGTGTGCAAAAGATCCCGTGAAAGAGAGAAGAGCTCATGCTAGGCAGTGCCTTGTGAAGAACATAAATGTCAGAAGAGAATATCTGAAGCAACATGCAGCAGTTAGTGGTAAGACAATAGAAGTTGCTTTTTGGTACAAGTGCTATAGTTCAAATGTAAATGTGAGTAGACTGAAAATATTGATGATTTTCAGTTTTTATACATAGAATGGCTGTAAATTTCACTTAGAGACTTCTAACGAAAACTGAAAATAGAGTCCAGATTGTCTTTCGAGCTTTTTTAACAGGCATTTCTGGGATCTTTCAGTTTTGTTAAAAGCTGTGCAAATACTTATGCCTAAGTATATTGGAAGTGAAGTAGTTTTTCAAAGCAGTTATGTGTACTGTTTGAACTTAATGGTTAATTATGTTGCAAGTGAAGTGGCAATGATTAATTTTACTTCAGTAATTAATAATATGCAATATTAATGACATAAATGCTGTACTAAATTGACTGTCTGTGCACTGCTATATTGAGTAGCTTCTTATCTTGTCTTATGCTGGCAAAGGGCTATGTAGGCGCTTCAGGAGGAGTTTATGTAATTCTTTCTTCCCAGTGGCAGCAGTCTGATCATGGAAATGCTGTGTAAGTTATGGACTAACGTTAGCTACTTTTCTTTTAAAAAATCAGCCCTTTTCCCTTTTGATTTACTCAAAGCTACACACATACAGTATGACAACTTTGGTATATGGTCATATGAAAAAGTACACCTTTATGAAGAGCTACAGGCATTTTGAATGAGAGTTTTTGAAAGTTTTATTTTTTAAATAAATTACTGATGGTTTGGCCTTTGAAATGAAGGGGATTTTTTCATCTTGTCTTAGGATAGACCAGACCTGTTTTGTGAATCTGATCTCACAGATGCTGTCAGATGACTGATTTCCTTCTGCATTTATGAATCACAGACTTTATATTAGCTATGCCAGTCTGTGTGTGCCTTAGTCCCCTTAGACTTTGATCAGAGAATAAGTCTGCAGAGAAATCCTTTTGTGTATTGTTAATTAGACTTAAAAAAGAGCAGTGCTTTTCTCCTTCCTCAATAACATGTAAAACAGAAAAATCCATTGAGCAAATGCCTTTAAGTCATCCTAAGACTATTCCTCTTGAAAGTTCAAAACTCTTTTTAGTTATGTAGGAGGAAAGTACCAGAATTCTCATATGATTAAAAGTAATTGCTAATTTCCTAACTGTATTGAGATAGGTGCTGCAAAGTTACTATCAAAAATCTGTAGAAGAACTGAGGAGCCTAGGTGTGTGTGATTCTTTTTATCCAGTAGGACCTCAAAGTGTGCCTGAATATTTTTTTTTTTCTTGCTGAAAGACTTATCTTGAGTGAAGCCATTGATTTTATATGTACTGTAATCCGTGAGGAGTCTGGTTGCAGGATTTTTGGGGGATTACAATGTTAACTTTGTGGCATTCAGATTTATCAGTCTGAGCTTTTAACAAATGTCTTTAACTGTTTGCATCTAAAAAAAAATAACTATTGTAGTAGTACAGCTGAAGGTCAGTTCTGGTAAGAACATAGTATTTAAACGCGTATGTGTCTCCCTCTGTCATTCTCCCTACTGGCCATGCAGTAACTCAGGGTAGTAATGACGATAGTAGCTCCTTAGAAAAGCTTCCACAAAAAAACTAGAGCTGAGAATGTGCATCTTTGATTAATGCAGCTGTTTTTCTGAATCTATAAACGTGTGATTTTGTGATATGTTTTTGTCTTGAAAACTTGGTACAGGTGAGGATGATATCTTTCAGATATTTTGGGGAATTTCAGCATTTGTTGAAAGGACGGTGAACTGCTATATACTTTGCCTAAGGAAAAATTCCTAAGGACTGGTACCAGACAGTACGCACAGACCTCCACACTGAACTTTTACAGGCTGGCAGGAATTTTCTTAGGCCTCTTAAATTCTCTAAATGCTGTTCAGGCTGGAAGCCACTCAGGAAGGTAGTTAATCTTGATTGTGTATCTGTTACTATTTTCCTCTGGGTAGAGACTTGTGTCTTGCATAGGAATCTTTGTTTTTTAAGGCTGGGCTTTTACTTGCAAGTCAGTAAGTGGGAAAAATAACAAGAGTAAAGATGTTTTTTTTTAACAAGTTTATTTCCTAAATGCTTATAAAGGCCTGTCATGAGGGTTTTTGGCACTTTTTACTTTCAAATACTAGTAGTTCATCTCCATAAAGCCACCCAACCTTTTGGGTTGTGTCTTTCTTCATTAGAGATGAGGAAAGAATGTGTAAATACTATTTTTGTCATGACAGGGGTTAAATATAATATGTGTCAATATTTGTCCTTTTCCTGTTTTGTCTGGATCTGGTTCACCTTGTTTTCCAGATCAGGTTGGAATTATTACTATAGTTATAATAGAAATTGTACAAGGCAGGAAGTTAATGAAACACTGCGTTCATGAGCTCTTGATAAGCATTCTATTGAAGGTGCTAATTAATACCAATAATAGGAGGTTGGTTTGCCTGGGACATGTCTAAGGCAAGCCAATATTGGAGGTGTTCTGAAATCATAATTACGTTCTTTTTCTTCCCTGACACATCTTTATTTTTTCATTTGGTTACACAAAGAGCTGCTGGCTAAAATGCAGGACAGTGCTTGAAGAAGTGATGGATATTTTTAAAGTTAATAGTGGACTGTCAATTGAAACACATTAAAAACTTTGCAAAGCACACTGGATTTCAATTACATAAATATAGCTTGAAATAGAAAAATTAGGTGATTTTTATTGTTTCTTTCAAACCTTAGGCTTAAGTCTATGTAGCAGAGATACTACTCTTGCTAATTAACTGCATCAGCTGCAATGACTGTCTAAAAGTGTATCCTTGGAACATGACAGCACTATCTTCTGTGAGCCTTTATTCACTTTGAATGCTTTCGTTGCTATTATGAATGAATCCAAGTATTTTATTTAGGCTGTGCATTATTCCTTTTTATGCAGACCTTTAAGAATGGGATATATTGAGTAAGATTTGACTTATGCATGGCAATTATTTAGTTTAGTCTTGTGAAATCTACAGTAATGATGTATATTTTGACATGCACAATATTTGTCAAGCACATCTCATATAAAGACGCATATTAGAGATTAAAATGTCAGTGTTCTAATATATTTTTAAGTAATTTTCAAATATTGTTATATATGATGATTTACAGATGTTTGGACTAGTATTAATAACCTAATATTGTATAGTTAAAAGCTTACCAAAAGAAGATTTTGCAGACTTGGTCATGTCTTCCATGACCACTCACTAGCTCAAAAATGTGATTTTCCAAAAGAAGAGCCAGGAATTTCCCTCTTTCCTTTACATGTACATTCAAGTGTTTATCCATAGGCATGTTAATACTATGACTTTGCATTTGCCACAAGCGCTCAAGATCAGATGCTTGCACCGTAGTAATATAAATAGAATACTAGCATGCCTTCCTTGCCTAGAGTCCTGACTGTTGCACAGGGTACAAGTTTAATAACTTGGGGGTGCTATGCATCCTCTGGTTCCTCTTAGTCATTAGGCTAAAGCAAGCAGTGTAGATGTTTTCTGTAAAGTGCTTTTTGACTTTTGGTGTACAACTTGTCTTTTTGTTGTCCTTGCCCTGTGGTATATGCGTATATGCCCTTTTAAAATTGTGATTTTCATCATCAAACTCTGAGGTGCTGAAGTTCACTTTGCATAGTGGTAGGTCAGGAATTTGTTTGTTACCTTATGGAATGTGTATTTTGTGATCATAACTCTGAGAGGGTATAGTAACAATGCTTACCTTTTGAATCCCCAAGGAAGATAGGCCAACTGTCATGATGTAGGGAAGACTTTCTCCTGCAGTCCTTCCTTAGGACTACTTACAAGTCTTGAAGGGTGCTAGAAAAAGTTTTGAATGCTTCAAATGTCATATTTCAGTTGTGCTGCTCTGTTCAAGTGGGATTGAGCCTTTCAAACTCAGTCCACTACTACTTTGTTATAGCTTTTGTATTACCTCCTGTTCTTTCTTTAAACATATATGGTAGGCTGGGGGTTGGAGAGCATTGTGGCAATTTGACTGCAAAGGCACTTCTTTCAGTTCTGTTGACAGCAAGGCTCTACACTGCAACGTCTGAAGAAAGAGTGGTAGCTTATCCTGCAATCGTGCTGGTCTCTCGTCTTGCAGTTAACATGGATTTTGTGATCTATCCTTGCTTCTGTTTTTCAGTCTTTTAGAATACAGACTATGAACTAAGCAAAGGATTGGGAGTAGGTGACTATAGCTGTATTCTCAAAGCAGATAGAAAATATGCAGACCTGACTGAGAGATACTTAAAATCTTAATTTTTGCATGCATGAAACATCTGCACATGAACCATGAGATGCACCATCATAAAGAAATGATAGGCCCACATATGCCTAAGGGGTGTCTTAATGTATGCTGACCTTAAATTTGTCTCTTTCCTCTGTAGTAGAAAAGTGTATTTCTTGATATGTAGTCTTCTAATGCATCTTTCCTTCTGCTTTTCAGAGAAACTGTTGTCACTTCTACCAGAGTATGTTGTTCCTTATACTATCCATCTTCTAGCTCATGACCCAGATTATGTCAAAGTCCAGGACATTGAACAACTCAAGGACATTAAAGAGTAAGACTACTTTTGAATAGTGTTATTTCTAGAGTTAAAACAATCTAACTTTATTCTAAGTGAAATTTTAATTCATTACAGTACCCTGATACACTGTTGTTGTAGTTTTGCACAACACTGCTCACTCACTTTCTCCCCTTACCCATCCTGGGGATGGGGGAGAGAATTAAAGGGGTGAAGGGAAAAGAGACTCATGGGTTGAGCTAAGAACAATTCAATAACGAAACTACAATAATATTGGAAATAATACTAGTAATATATACAAGTATAAAAATGAGTGATACTGCTCACCACCTGTTGACCAAGGCTCAGCCTGTTCCTGGCTAATGATCCTGGAGCAATGGAGAGTCCTGAAACTGCACTCCCAGAACGGAGATAAGAGCTCAAGTGTCCAAGAGATCGAGATGACACTGAGAGAGGGGTGACCTAGAGGGAAACAACCCAGAGCAAGGGAGACTTCTGGACAGATCCTCATATATATACTGGGCATGATGTGCATGATATGGAATATACCACTGGCCAATTTGGGTCTCAGTCCTAAACCTAATGTCAAATCCTAGGCTAGTAACTGGGGCTGTGCTCCCTCCCAGCTTCTCCTGCACCTGCAGACACTGGCAGAGCAGAGGTGATGAAAAGTCCTTGACTGTCCTGGCAGAAACTATAAACATCAGTATGTTATCAGCTGCCTTCTCATCAAAAATCCAGAACATAGGTTCTTATTAGCTACTATGAAGAAAGTTAACTCTTTCTCAGATGAAACCAGGACAACTGGCCAGTGCACATAATGATGGCTGTTATTTCTGTAAAATATTGTGAGACATAGCATATATATGCTTTTTTTGTGCTCTCTGTTATCTTACAGAGGAACCTGCACCTTCTGCTCATCCTGCCTTCATTTCTTTTTTTCCTAAGAACTGGTTTCCCAGAGTTAGAATGGTTCAAATTCATAGTACTAGTAAAACTCATTTTCTTGAATGTGCTTTTAAAAATAATTTCTTTAGCATTTTTATTCATGAGGAGTACTGCATTTCTCCTTTAGGTGCCTGTGGTTTATACTGGAAATATTGATGGCTAAAAATGAAAACAACAGTCATGCATTTATCAGGAAGATGGTAGAAAATATCAAACAGACTAAGGATGCTCAAGGACCAGATGATGCAAAAATGAATGAAGTAGGTGATACTTTTTGATTTGAAATTGCATTTCATTCTGGCCTGTGTCTGGAAATGAGTTGCTTTTTGTTTACACACCAACTTTAAAATGTCTTTCAGTAGAATTGTATGTAGGAGGTGATACTTTGTGTGCTGTAATGATTATATTTATTGTATCTTAGATGACAGTTATTTCCCTGTGCTTCAGTAGATCTTGCACATTTGCAAGGGAGTTGTAATAGTTTGCAGTCCTTCTGTTTCTGTCTCAGTAAGATTATTAGATGCTAACTTTAAATATATGTAAACTGTAATTTTTACTGTTTAAATCATTCACGGAAGCGCTGTGTAATATTTTATTTTAAAAATGCAAAAGTAAGCTTAGTATAGGAAGAAAAATACATGCATTAAATGTTTTCAATGTGTATTGTGTAGTGAATGTATCTTGTTTTGAGGTTTTTGCATCACATAATATACAGATTTCTCACTTTTCTGCTTTTCCCACAGGAATGAGTTTTTACTTTTTTAGCTTTGTCTTTGAAACCATGGCATACACTGTCCTTAAGTGTAGAAGATCATGAAAGCTAGCTCTCTTTAACTGCTCGGCCTACAGTGCTTTTGTCTTTTGCTCATATACTTTGGTACCCTGTGACACACTGTTTAAGATGCAGGCTAATGTTAAATGTTTAAGATGATTGCTTTTAAACTGTGACTTCTTGTAGTTCTATGCTCAAAAGATACTGTCTTTTGTCAAGATTTGCAATGAACTTTTGAAGTGTTATTTGTTTGCTGTTTTTTTTAAAAAATTTTGTTATTTACAGAAACTATACACAGTCTGTGATGTAGCAATGAATATAATTATGTCAAAGAGTACAACGTACAGTTTGGAATCCCCTAAAGACCCTGTACTTCCAGCCAGATATTTTACTCAACCTGACAAGGTATACCTTGGCATTTAATTTTTCTTGAGATAAGTCTGTTTAAATCTTTGTTAGTTATAATTCAGGGTGGTTTTTTTTTTTCAATGGTTCTTGTGACTTAAGACCTCTCCCTATTATAATGTAGTTGAAAATATGTGTATGTTTTAAGAAATATTTATATGCATGTACACACACTGATTTCTCCCCCCACCCCAAGATACTGTTGTTCAGTTTTAAAATTTCAAAAGTAATGATGTAAAGAAGATCTTTCAGTAGTACTACCTCCAAAATGTATGTATCTTGTTCATTGATTATTGCTGTGATTTCCCCTCCCTCCTCCCCTTTCTTTACAGAATTTCAGTAACACCAAAAATTATCTTCCTCCAGAAATGAAGTCATTTTTCACTCCTGGAAAGGTGTGTATAGTGGTGGGGGGATGGGGTTGGGGGTTTGGTTTTGGTGCTGTGTTTGCGGTTTTGCTTTGGGTGAGGGTTTTGGGGTTTTTTTTTTGTTTATTCTGTTTTAAAGAAAACTAACATGTAGTTAATGGAACACTTCAGGTTTAAGAAAATGCATTGTTTCTGCCCAAAGAATTTATATATACCAATGGTTAGTAAACAGGTAGAGAGAAAGAGATAGGTAGATGGGAAAACTGCTACTGTCTGTGGTGGGTTGATGGTAATAGCAGGCAAGGCCTGTTGTCTTTAAAAAGGGAGAGTCCAAAAAAACCCACCCATAATATTTAACAAGTTTGCAAAATGGTTAACATATTTTTTCTGCAGAACACTACAATATTGCATATAAAGGGACAGCTATGGAACACTCGTAATATAAATGATTTTTTTAAAAATCACATGAATTAATTTTTTTGAAGCCGAGTTACCATTTCATAGTATCTTAGAAGGCAACAGACTCTTCTATAGTTGTAATAATTTATTCTGTCTAAATATACATTGTATTGAATGGCAGTGTTCTTTCTTCACTAAAACTAAACCCAGATACTCTTCAGAACAAAATTAAAATATAGTAAAGGAAAAGACAAATTATGGTTTTCATCTGGATTAATGTGCTCTGTTCTAAAGGAACAGAGAGAACATTAATTTGCGACCTTGAAAAAGATGTAAAAGTGCAGCATCTTCATTACCCTTAACTTTGCTAATGAAGCATTAGCTGCGAGCTAGTAAATTGCTAGTAGAAGAGGAATGCAAGTTAGGAAAAAATGTGTACATACACGAGCATCTTTCTGACTAGAAGCTGAAAGCCAACATTTATTGATTGGAATATATCATCACTGTATTGTGCATTTGAGTATTTGAACTCCATGGGTTACAGATTCACTTCTTAATGAAGACACAAATGTTTTAAAAAGTAATTTGTATGTCTTCCAATTTCTGATCAGTATTCCATATTAAGTTCTCTTATCCAGGTTTTGACATAAAATATTCTTGCTAGTTTGTCCCAAACTTAATATATTCAGTGTACTGTGACAATATTAAACAAGAAACATGGCTTATGCTATCACAAAAAAATCACAGTGTGTTTGAGGTTGGAAGGGACTTCTGGAGGTCATCTAGTCCAAAGCCCCTGCTCTCTCAGACTTTCCTCGTATGAGAAATGCTCCAGTCCCTTCATTTTAATGCTGGACTCTCTCCAGTAGTTCCATATCTCTCAAATAACCTAATTTGAAATTCTTTTGAATCTTAAGGTAGCTTTCATATTATTTTAAATTTCTAGTGCCAGGTACTCTAGCTCCTTTTTTGTTGTCCTGAAATTTTGTGACAAATAGCGAAGGTGTATTTGACCACCGAAATTTTCAGTTACTTCACCATCATGAGAGCAACATGGAATGAAAGTTGATCTAGGGAATCTTATTTTTGGGAATGGAAGACTAGCTTGTGTGGATGTCAGTGGGGTGGATATAAGCAGGGAACAGTATCTGAGGGCAGCAAGACTTTGAGTGAGTGTAGGTTCTGTGGTAAGGGAAGAACTATTAGTGCAGGTCCTGTTAGTGTTAATTTCTCCTTATTAGGAAGTGTGAATTTGAATGTTTCTCTGCTTTTGAGCTCTTTCTGTTTTTGCTTATTGATCAATGTTAAATTCTAACCCAACAGATATAAATTTTTAAACTGGATTTTATTCACCAAGATTTATTTTTGGAAAGGATATCTGTTTTTGTTGTACTCCGTGCAGAGTGAATCTTTGGTTTAAGTGTAAAATTCCCTCTGGCTATAAAAGTGTAACCAGCACATCTATGGTGCGTATCTCTGGAAAAAGGAACACAAAGCTGCTGTGATGTGCATGATTAACTTTTGTTTAGCTGTCACTAGCTTCAGACATAGCTAGAATCTAATATTGAAACAGAAGATGGATCATTCTAGATAATGAGAAATGGGGGGAATGGTCTTTAATTCAACAATTTGGTACGTGGGTGTTTGGCATAAAGGTGTATGCTCTTTAGCAGTAACTAGACTCTTTCAGCTCTCAAAAGTTAGTATGAGCTGGAGGTATTTGGCGTATCTGAAATAAAATAAATAACATGAAACTCACCAGTGTCTGGAAATTTTGTCACCTATTAAAAGCCTAACATTTTAAAATCTGTGCATGAGGATCAGAATCTTCTCCACAATATTTGATTTTTGAGGCTTTCATTCATTCATTCCCAGTTGAAAGCAGTATGGTTTGCCACTGCAGCTAAGCCCGTTTAATGGCTTCTTTGTGGAAAGGGCTATCCTGCTACTATTTCTGTTTTGTCAGTACACATGCTTATCTGATGCAAATGGTGAGATAGTTCAGGCAGCTAGATCAGCAGAAAGCAAACTGCACAAAAAGTCCTGAAGTGGTCCTGCAAGGTCAGGTGAGCACCCAATACTACCAATGAGAAGAGGACTGAATATAAGGGTAGAGAGAAGAATCCTGTAGGCAACCAGCTATTTGATTACGGCTTTGTCAGCTTCCTTCTGGTGCCTGTTTTAATTTTCATATGAAAATGTTTATAGCTTTGTGTTAAAATTAAGATATTGATCACAGAAAGTGAAATCTGTGACTATTTTAAGCATAGTACATGTTAACAATATCTAAATGTGTAGCTTAAAATAAAGGAAATATATTTTTGGTTTCAGCCCAAAGCAGCCAATGTTCTCGGAGCAGTTAATAAGCCTCTTTCGTCAGCAGGCAAGCAGTCTCAATCCAAATCTTCACGAATGGAAACTGTAAGCAATGCCAGCAGCAGTTCAAATCCAAGCTCTCCAGGAAGGATCAAAGGGAGGTTGGTAGAGAACAAAGGAGCTTTGATATTTCAAGTATTAGTAATGGAAACTTTGAATATTTGTATAATGTTTTCTAAGTGAGAAACAGAATTCTATTATCTTATTTTGAAGTAAAAGTTATGGTGCCACATTGGTATAACTGAAACCATGAATTTGGCTTTCTAAACACAGAAATAAATTTGCTTTAAAAAAAAAACAAAAAACAAAACACAAAAACCAAAAAACCAAATCAAAACAATCAAATCACATCCAGAGTTGACTGTAGGAGAGGAGAGCCTCGAGCCTTATATAAAAAAAATAAAACCCCACCCCTACATGTATATATGTATCTACACGCGTATGTACGTACATTTGCAGTTCCTAGGAACCTTGTGGCCTGCTGTAATGTTAACATGTCATGGACAGTGAGGACTGGTAGGCCATTGTGGTCATCTTGTATAACTTCCCCTGTATAAATTTGTCCTGCACTTTGCTGGACTTGGCAGATAAACATTTTTGGATTTTAGATTCGTTCTGTGATGGATAGGGGAATGTACTGTAATGCTACAGGAGTTGTCTTCTTGTTAGCTGTCTTTAAAAAATATAGCTTATTTTGTGTCAATTTCTTAGGTTATTCATCAGTTACTGTATCTTTTATGTTCATTTTTTAACTGAAAGTCACATTATAATTGATTTTTTTCCCAGACATTTAGAGATTGAGTAGCCTCCACTATTCATATTTTCTCACATTAGTTCAAGACTCTGAGGAAAAGTTATGTTTGGAAATAAGACTTCTCATTTGGTGCTTCTGTGACTATTTAATATATGATACTAATTTTAAATATAGTCCAATGTTTTACAAGAAATACTTCTCAACTTCATGGAAGGGCTTATGTCTTAAAAGTCATGCAGGTTCACATGCAGAAATACATTATTGGCTAAAGACAGGTTGGAATCTGGATTCTTTTCTATGTTGACTGAAATGAATTTGAGACCAATACTGTTGTACATCCAGTTATTTTTTAAAAATGCTACACTCACAGCCTGACCTGTTCTGTCATCTTCATGATCTCCTCAGTTCACCTAAGTGAAGCTGAATAGTGTTTTGAGTGGTGATACCAAAGAATAAAAGTCCTCTAGAAGTGACGGTAACGATTCAGTATGCATGGTGTTTCTAGTGGAGTCTGTCTGAATATATGCAGGCAAGCTTGCATCTATTAAGATGATGTATAAAAATTGAGCTTCTGATTACATCACATACGGATTTTATACTTGTAGGAGTGAGAACATCTTTCTCAGTCTATGCAGCGCCCTAAGGCCATGCAGTTAAGAGTTTGTGTATTTGAATACTGCTTTTCATTTCAGCATATAGCACATTTCTTTTCACTAGAAAGGGTGTGCTGTTATTTAAACACGTTGCTTCTACCTACCCCAGGGCAGATGAGATGAAATGACTTTTGTGTATTGGCTTTTGTATATTACCTTTTATCTCTGGGTCTCAATGTTTTACATATGCAGGAGGTAGTATTGTCCATGTTTACATATGTAGAAACTGAAATAAAAATGAAATTGCTGCCCCAAATAACAAGAGAAAGCTGGGGGATGAACTGGTCTCTGAAATTCAAATCTGCTGTTTTATTGCCTGAACAATTGTGCATGCTTTGGCTGGTCTATCTGTGGGAATCTTTGATTGGTATATGAAACTGTATGCAAATATATACAGACATACAGATCTCTTGTAACTCAGTAAGGCTCCTCTGTTTCAAAAAGCTGCTTATCCTTCCCAGTGAAAAAAGAAAATTCAACTTGGCTTATGATTGACACCTCTGTCCTGTGACTTACATGTTCTGGCTAGTGATATGTTGTGCCTATAGCAGCCAGAGTGAAAGGTTCGTTCTGCCAGATTGTTCATGGTTTAGGAATAGGTTTCTTCTGAAGATTGTTGTTCTAAATATTTTTTTTTAAACAATTGCCCACTGTATTATAACAGTGAGGAGTATAACTGTTTATTCATTCTAGGCTTGACAGTACTGAAATGGACCACAGTGAAAATGAAGAATTCACACTGGCTTCACCCTTACCAGGGAAGAAAACTGACAAAAGGGACGACTCTGATCTTGTAAGGGTGAGCTGTTCGGTTGCATTGCTGATGTGCCATTTTAAGTCACCAGGACTTTAAAATAAAAATTAATGTGGTGGTACTTGATATCATTCAAGAAAATATGCTGAAACATGAGACTGAGTTGATGATGTAAACTACTGGAAAATATGTTTAGAGTTGGATATGAAAATGCAATGAAAAAGAAGTTCAGTTTGTCTGTTTTTCATGTGTACGTTACATTACCTTTGCATCATACTGACAACTCCTGTAAACTTTCAGGATTACTAGTTATTATTTGCAGGATATTGATAATATTGACAGGGGTAGATTAGGCTAGACCTAGGTTGATGAGAATTACCCCACAATTTGTTTAGTTCTCATGATTTGTTGATGAAGCGTTTGAGACATTGTTCAAGTTGATAGCTTCCTTGTACTTGTGTTCCCCAATATATAGTAGAGGTTTTTTTGTATGTATTTTTGATGTTTACTTGAAGTATAGCTTTGGAAAAATTAATTGGATTAGTTTGAGAATGATCAACTATACTGGGGATTGGGGGAGTGGTTTAACCTGTCTGAAATTTCAGATTGCTTTCTGAGGTTGTAAAAGTCAGTATTGTATATAGTTTCTTGCTTGTAGCTAGCAAAGTGATAATACCTCATGACATCATTAATGTATTATAATTCTCACCTTTTTTTGTACTGTCCCATCACTGGTGCTAAGGCATGTTCTCCTTTTCCAGTCAGATGTGTTTTCCTTTCAATAGCTCTAAGGAATAGCAGCTGTTTGTTCTCTGGTTATCTAGAATACCAAGAGGGCATCATGATCGTAGAATCACAGAATGGTTTGGGTTGGAAAGGACCATCGAGTTCCAACCCCCCTGCCATGGGCAGGGACACCTTCCACTAGACCAGGTTGTTCAAAGCCTCATCCAGCCTGGCTGTGATTTGACATTTAGAAGTTCAAGACAGTGTTATCTCAGTAGCCATATGGATTCTGTTTTCTTGCATGCAACTTGTACTGTAGTGAAGGCAGGAAAATGCTTGCTCCTGAATGCTAGGTATCCCAAGCAGAAGTTGCAGCGTGATTTCAAAGCTGTATAATCGTGTGTAATATAGTCTTCAACGGGCTTTTAGGGCATAGTGAGCTAGCTAACTGATACTTATAGACCAATACAATCCCATAGGATGTAAAATAGTTGTAATGATTAACAACCACGTTGCCTATGCTGTTATATAAACTGTTCTGTGAGAACATGGGAATCCCAAGGGGTAGCAGAATGGTGTCATTGCTATGCTCTTTTACAGTGTCAGGATCATTCAGGAGAAATTACATGTGTGTCTACCTCAGAAAGAGAATTTAGTGAATGACCATTAACCAAGGCCTTTGAGAGTGGTAGCCTTGTCCTTACAAATTCTTACTGATGGTTTTATGTATTTCTGTAGATCAGTAATGCTAAAGATTCCTAATGAGGATATAAAAACTGATTTGGACTCTCACTCAGATGTAGTGCTTTAATACGTTAATGAAATTATAAACAAGATAAATATTGTGTCAAGCAGTATTTACACCTCTATCTGAGAATACGGAAAAGTAAGCCACCAAAGAAAATTATAATTGTATTGTAATTCTAAGAGCAGTTAAAATAATAATAATTTCACATACCACTAGTAAATTTCAGTTCTTTGTGCCTTAATAACATTTAGCAGTCTGTAAATTTTGTAATAATACGAACAAGTTCAGATTTGTTACAGTTGGATTTCATGGAATCATAGAATGGTTTGGGGTGGAAGGGACCTTAAAGATCATCTAGTTCCAACCCCCCTGCCATGGGCAGGGACACCCTCCACTAGACCAGGTTGCTCAAAGCCTCATCCAGCCTGGCCTTGAACACCTCCAGGGATGGGGCATCCACAACTTCCCTGGGCAACCTGTTCCAGTGTCTCACCACCCCCACCATAAAGAATTTCTTCCTAATATCTAGACTATATCTGTCCTCTTCCTGTTTAAATCCATCACCCCTCATCCTGTTACTACTTGTCCTTTAAAAAGTCCTTCCCCATCTCTCCTGTAGGCCCCCTTCAGGTACTGGAAGGCCGCTATAAGGTCCCCCTGGCGCCTTCTTCTCTCCAGGCTGAACAACCCCAACTCTCTCAGCCTCTCCTCATAGGGGAGGTGCTCCAGCCCTCTGATCTGGACCCGTTCCAACATCTCAATGTCCTTCTTGCATTGGGGGGGCCCATACCTGGACACAGTACTCCAGGCAGGGTCTCACGAGAGCAGAGTAGAGGGGCAGAATCACCTCCCTCGGCCTGCTGGCCACACTTCTCTTGATGCAGCCCAGGATCCAGTTGGCCTTCTGGGCTGTGAGTGCACACTGCCGGCCCATGTTCAGTTTTTCATCTACTGATATCCCCAAGTCCTCCTCCTCAGGGCTGCACTCAAGCCATTCCCCGCCCAGCCTGTATTTGTGCTTGGGATTGCCTCGACCCATGTGCAGGACCTTGCATTTGGCTTTGTTGAACTTGATGAAGTTGGCATGGGCCCACCTCTCAAGCTTGCCCAAGTCCCAGTTTGCTAGAATATGTTAAGGAAGTCCTATATCTGATGTCACTGCTGCTTAATTTTTTTAAGTGTCTCTGATATTTCTCTGTTTTCCCATTATGTCAGTCTGTTGTACTTTTCTAGGTTGCTTGGGACATAAGCTACTGACTAGTAAAAATGTCCTGAATTTTTACTTGTTTTGAAGTGCTAACAAGCATTTTATGCTGTGGTATATTGTGGGGAAAGCAAACCAGCTTATAACAAAACCAGAAAAATCAGAAATGTCGTGTTAAAAAAACCCCAAAAAACAACCCACTTCTGATGCTTCTTGTATTGATATGTCACTTCAGTTGTAAACCTTGAAAAGTCTGAGAATCCAAATAGCTGCTGGCATGCAATTCATGTTTAGAGGTATTAGGTTGAATTGGTAACCGACAAAGGTAAGTGATAAAGTAAATGCAGTTTCGTATTTCAAATACTTTTTAGGGCATTTGTATTTCACTTTGAATATGTAACCAAGCTGCTTAAGGTCATTGATTCAGAACTCATTTTTGGTTTTTTGGAGCTGAGGAGCAGATCATAGTAAGCATTAACCGAGAAGCAGAATTTTAATCAGGGGTCAGAAAGTCCATGCTGTAAAGATCTCATTATTCAGGATATTTGTCCAGATTACATCATAGAGTAACATGTTGGTTCTTAGTTTGTGGGACACCGTTAAACCCAAGGGAGAAACTTTACTTTGAAACTTCGCTACAACTACTTACCTGGTAAAAGCAGCTGCAATGACAGATGTGCGCAATCACTGCAAAAGCAAATAGAACAGGGAATAATGAGGATGTCATTGATGTAGATTAACAGTTTTGTCACTGAAGTAATAAACTGACAGGAGATGTCATCATTGTTCAGACATTGTTCTTGTTTCCTTCTAGTGTAATTCTTTGTCCTTCAATTTCTGTTACTTTTTTTCCCCTCATATCCTTTCTATCTTTCCACTTTTCTTGACCAGGGTCTGTGCTTCAGGGTCTTTTTGCTTCAGAGACCAGCTTCAAGC